AAGGACCGACCGTTGTTGGGCCTCGAGTCATGTTGAACGCATGCCTTACATTTAGCTGGCCGGATAAAGTACATTCCGACCGCGAAGCTGTGAGATTATTCGGGCCGAGTAGATTGCCCGCAGCGCACTGTGCCGGAGCAGGTGTGGTAGGACACGGGGGCGAGATGATAAGACCAAAGTGCAGTCGGTCGGCCCCCGGGTACATGTGGTTCCTGGCAAACTCGAGACTCCTGGATAGTTGACTCGGTGATCAATACCTCACTTTAGCGGGCGAGTGAGGTTTGTGTAAGGAATAAATCACCAGCTGGTTAGGAATCGATTCGAATCGCCATCGCTCCTGGATAGTGAGCACTTGACTTGAGTGACTTCATCGTAGTAATGTTGATGGAACACTTGGACAGTTATAATGAATATGACATTATGGAAGTTGTTAATGATCATTGGTTATCATTATCTGCTTAATCACATGTTTGCTCTAGTATAGGTGTAAATCTAGTCGACAGGTTATAAATAATTAACTTGACAATCATGCTTTTAGAAAGGTTCTTGAAATGATAAAAATGCATCTTTTTGCAAATGAGTCAGCTACACTACTATAAAGCCCTTCATAATCCTTGGTGTCACTTTATTTTCGGTTATGTCGGGTAAGTCTAGCTGAGTACCTTATCGTACTCAGGGTTTTATTCCCACTTCTTGCAGATGGGCAGATGTATTACGGCTACTGTATCAACTGCTTTATCCTACGATGGGTGATGCTTAGGACCATGGGCAGGGTCATTCCGTACGTCTCGTCTAATGCTTTTGTTGGAGATGATCATCAGCTGGCACTGTATTTGAACTCCGTGTGAGTGTGTGTGGTTTTAAACAAATGGCTTCCGCTACTTTTATTCGAACTCGTTTTGTAATAACTATGTTTTAAACTCTGATGTATCTGAGATGCGAACTTTTATGTAATATGTGATGGTGACCGCTAAACTTATTACGATCTTGGCTGGGATGTAAGTTGATTTGAAATCCTTCGTGATTTCACGGACTACCGGGTTATACGCGCTTAAGTTTGCTAAATCGTCTGCTCTGGCGGATGATTTTCTTACTTAATTTTGTATAATTGGTCGGTTCTGTTACAGCTGGCATCAGAGCATGGTTTAGCGTGTTACTGTTCACAAGTGTATTTAAAACAAAAAGACATTTAAAAAATGTGATTTCCAAACTATAAAGTGTGTCAGTGGTCATATCCTTTATGCCCAGTTAAGGACTCTAGGTTGCTTAATTAAGTACTGACTTGGGGTTCTTGCATCATATTTCTTTTTCGTTGCTCATATGGCATGCTATTGTATGAGTGCCACTTGTTTGAGTGGTAATGTATGGATCATTTACCTCTACGCCTCGGTAAGTGTGAGTTGTGAGAGCATGATCGGATACACCGCCGATCTAGGGTGAATGCTTATATGATGCTGGAGTAATTACATGTTCTATGTATGTTTTACAAAGGTATCTCATGTGTGGGTATTCCGTCTGTTGAGGCGATGCCGTCAATAGGACGATAGTTCGGGTAGTTACTACCGTTGTACACGTATCTAGGGATTCGTGTAGAGCGTGTAGATAAAATTTACTGCTTTTATGCATTCATTGGGAATTGGGCTGAAATGAATCTTCTGTAGGTACATAACAACGCTATCGTATAGAACGTATTAGCTACGTAATTGAGAGATCGTTTGTATGCCACCGAATTCGTCACTAGAATTATTTATTTCATAAGTTTGTGAGAACGTACGGCACGTACATACATCATATTACTTGTGCATTTCATTCATGTCATGCGTTCCTCCCCTTATAAATTGATTATCTCATTTTGATAAAAGTTGTATCATCTAAAATATGTTTCCTCGGGGTAATAAAAGAACTTTTGCTACAGATGGCCCGCACGAAGCAGACCGCTCGTAAGTCCACCGGAGGAAGAGCACCTCAACGTCCGTTGGCCCTGAGGGAGCACCGCACCACGGATACCTTCTTGAGCGAGTTTACCATGCCGACCTTGCTTTGAAGAGTGCTCCATGATGTGGGGTACCCAGAGGGTCAAGAACCGGTGTACTCTTAGAATGAGAGCCAGTTAGTAGAGGATGGACTTGCAGTGGTAGAGATCACGGTTTCTGCTCTCGGTGATGCTCCAGATTGGGATGGTTGGCACTTGGAGTTTGAGGGCCGCACTCCTGCTGAGGGTGCAGAGGGAGCAGCCTTCCGCGTCATCAGGGATATCATGAGCAGATTTCCCAGTGAGCTTGCAGCAGCTCTAGTTGGCACCTTTCCTAGAGATGACCCTCGTGATGCTATTTGGGTTCAGCCTCAGGGAAGTGCTTTGGTCAGAGGTCCAGCTGAGGGACAGGCTAGCGACAACCATGCTATGAGTGCTATGTTCGCCGTCATCAGAGCGTATGAGGGTCTTGAGAGTACCTACTGGACTTTGACTGGCTTACGTGGTCAGGATAAGCTCAAGGGGAGAAAGCAGAAGAAGAGACAGGCACGTGCTATAGCTAGTTTGCAGGAGCAGTTGGCTGATATGAACTTACAGCGAGACCAGGCGGTTGAGAGAGGTGATAGAGCTATGCAGCAGGTGCATACATTGACTCAAGCCAACAACAATGCAGACCGCATGATTGGACAGTTGGTTCAGGAAAGGAATGAAGCCTAAGACGAGAGGGACCTTCTGCTGCAGAGGGTCGATGAGCTAGAGGAGTACAACGTCAACCTACACGAGGAGTTTCACGCGCTCTACAATGGGGTTGGCCCCTATGCTCCTCCAGACGCCGCTGGCATGGACATCGACGACGACAACGAGGACGAGCCTGTAGTTTCACCTGGGGGCGATGGTGACGTCTCCGACCCCGACGATGGCCCCGAGGAGCAGGCTAGTTGCCTTGCGCTAGTATCTAGGTCCTGTCGCGATGACCTTTCTTTTGTTGGCATGTAACCTAATGTATTTTGCTTCGAACTAATGAGACTTGGCATGTGATTGGAACTTGGCTATTAATGCGATATCTGAACGCATAAAAGTCCAGTGTATGTATGCTGGCAATTTGGTCGTATGGACGCGATGTTTGCTGTTGAAGTAATTTAATAGGTGATGTTGTTTTAATTGGGATACGATTATTGTGCCTCTTTTTTATTGTATGAATTTATTCTCTCCAGTAAATTCAGTACGGCATAATTTTTCCTTCACTCACAATTAGTACAGCGTCACTCAATCATTACTTGTTGCTGAAATATGCAGATGACAAATACTCGACGTACCACGTATGAGGCCGCTGAGCCCGGTGCTGGGACCGGTGGTGGTGGTGGAAACCACGGCAACAACAATGAGCCTCCCCATGAACCGCATTTGCCACCTCCTCCCCCGTTTACCCCAGAGGTGTTCTTCGCACAGTTGCTCGGAAGTCAGCGCAACACGGAACAGTCCCAGAAGAACCTGGAGGATTTTCTGCGTACCATCGCCAACAACGTTCAGCGCTGTAACAATCAGGGTGGTGGCATTGGGGTGAATCAATACAGCAGCTTCAAAGATTTTATGGACACCAGGCCGCCGATATTCAAGGAAGCAACAGAACCACTCGATGCTGAAGAATGGATCAACACTATGGAAGATAAATTCTGTGTGTTGAGGATGACTGAAGTGTTGAAAACTGAGTATGCTGCACTTCAGTTGCAAGGACCAGCGGGAATGTGGTGGAAGCACCATCGCACCACCTTTCCTCCAAATGCTCAGATTACATGGAGAGAGCTTGCTGAGGCCTTCCGTGGAGTTTATATTCTACCGGGGCTGACCGAGATGAAGTTGGGAGAGTTCTTGGCGTTGAATCAGGGCACCAAGACCGTGACGCAATATTTGCATGCCTTCAATAACTTGTGTCGTTATGCTCCCGACATGGTTGACACTGATGCTAAGATAATCGCATACAAAGTTTGTGGAAACGAGACACGCTGTCTTCCTAGAGGATGAAATGTTTAGAGAGAGCATGGTAGCTCGAGAAATTGATCTTGAAGAGAAGTGGGTGTATGCACCCACTCCTATAATTCATGAGCCATTTTTCTCACTACCTGCTGTTGCTGCACCGACAGTACAAGACACTGTGGTGCCAGCACATGTTGTTATCCCGCCTGTGGCAACAATGAATGATGATGAGAAACCTGTTCCTCAGGATCCTATAGAAACTATTGCCACACATGAGGGGGGGCAACAACAGCCTCAAACAGAAAATGTGCCAAATGAGGAGGCCCCTAGAAGGTCTCAAAGAGTTAGAAAATCAGCTGTTCCTGCTGATTATGAAGTGTACAACACTGAAGAATTTCAAATGAAGGATGATCCCACCTCATTTGAAGAAGCCATGAAAATGATCATTCATCAAAGTGGCTTGAGGCCATGGAAGATGAAATGAGATCAATGAATGCAAATAAAGTTTGGGATTTAGAGATAATTCCTAAATGAGCCAAAACAGTAGGCTGTAAATGGGTCTATAAAACAAAACTTGACTCTCAATGGAATATAGAGAGATATAAAGCCCGACTTGTGGCAAAAGGCTTTACACAAAGAGAAGGAATTGATTACAATGAGACCTTTTCTCCAGTCTCATGTAAGAATTTCTTCAAAATCATAATGACATTAGTGGCACATTACGATTTAGAATTACATCAGATGGATGTAAAGATGGCATTTCTCGGCGGAGACTTAGATTGTTTCTATGGATATAACACGGACAACTCCGCCTTCGCCGACTCCAACCCGATCCGCTCCGTCACAGACCGCGCAGCCTCCGCGCTCCTCGAGTCCACCATCTTCGCCGCGCTCGGCCGCACCCGCGACGCGCTCCGCTTAGCACGCTTCGCCGTCAGGTGAGCACCCGTTCACCCTAATCCAGCGACCAGCGGTCCATCCAAACCCCGCCCTCCGTCCGCCCTCCCGTTTCTGTTCTCCCTGATGGCCTCACGATTTGGGCCGGTGGCGCGCGATGCAGGTATGGCAAGAGCTACGAGAGCGCGGCGGAGGTCCAAAACGGTTCCGGATCTTCTCCGAGAGCCTCCAGCTCGCCCACTCCACCAACCGGAAAGGCCTCTCCTACCGCCTCGGCATCAACCGTATGACCTTGATCTTCTCAGTCCTCGTCCCAACATCCAACGTGCGCTTCAGCGCGTCCTGGATTGACGTTTTTTTTGAAAGACGGATTCACATATGTCCGTGTCTGTTATGTGTGGCTGGTGTACAGGCTTCTCCGACATGAGCTGGGAGGAGTTCCGTGCGACCCGGCTCGGCGCGGCACAGAACTGCTCCGCCACGCTCGCCGGCAACCACCGGATGCGCGCCGCCGCCGCCGCGCTCCCGGAGAAGGTGGGTTACCAAAGCTGCTCGTCGGTCGTCAGAGATAATCCTCTATGTCTTGTAACGTACTCCGTAACGTTTTGACTCCCAAACGTGCAGGCGAGTACCGAGTAGTAGGTTGCAGCCACGTTCCTACTGTGATTTCATTTGTAACAGCATCAGTCACATGAGACAGGCCTGTGTTGGTTCAGTTTATTTAGGCTTTACAGGGGAGTTTCTGGTATGAAGCTTGCGAGTGGCTGCAGTATTTTCTCATTGCTTTCAGGCTTTGTGGTCTCTACCTTTTGCCTATTTGCTCAGCCGGCTCCACCACGACAAGCAATGTTTTTCAGTCACTTTCTTCCTTGGCCCCGGCACATGAATCATGATGCAGTTTAATTAACCCCTCTTTCTATGCGGTACCAGTGGAACTGTTTATGCTTCCAACGAAACTGCAAAATTGTACAGGCTTCTCGCAGTTCTGGGATACATCATACATGTCCAGTAGTGGTTCTCGCAGTTTTGCAAGGCGGTGTTGTTTTACTAGTTCTGAGCCATGTGACGTGGTTACGAATTGAACAATCTCAACTAGTCTTGGATGCTATATATATTTTTTGGACATTATGCTGTGAAATGTGTATGTGATGTTGTTCTGGCTACTGCAGAAAGACTGGAGGGAGGATGGGATTGTGAGCCCAGTGAAAAACCAGGGCCACTGTGGATCATGCTGGACCTTCAGGTAACCACTGAAAAATCAGCGTCCTCTTTCTCGTTCTCTCATTTCTTGTATATATATCATTCCTAGAGAAAGCTGGATGGAGCATATGTCATTACTGGTTTACCTTGTTCCCTAATGTACTAAAAAGTAATAATATATGGGAATCATGTCAATGATAGTTGTGTTTGGTGCATGCTTACTTTACCAGTAAATAAAGGTGCATATAGTATCTGACAGGAAGTACGGATTGCGTCCAAATGACTTGCATGGGCTTCATGGCCTTTAAATCAATCATGGTCTTGAAAGTAATCAGGATGGGGCTCTTTCAAACCCCATGCTGGGGTAAATAATTTAAAACCACTTTAGGTGTGGCCCACGATGGGTTCTGATAGATATATCTGTTGGTGAAGCTGATTATTGCTAGCAAGAGTAGTAGTTCAGATCTTTGATACAACAACAACAACAAAGCCTTTAAGTCCCAGATAAGTTGGGGTAGGCTAGAGTTGAAATCCAGCAAAAGCAATTAAGGTTTAGGCACGTGAATAGCTATCTTCCAAGCACTCCTATCTAATACTAAGTCTTTGGGTATATTCTATCCTTTCAAGTCTCATTTTATTGCCTCTACCCAAGTCAACTTCGGTCTTCCTCTGTCTCTCTTCACGTTACTATCCTGGCTTAGGATTCCACTACGCACCGGTGCCTCTGGAGGTCTCCATTGCACATGTCCAAACCATCTCAACCGGTGTTGGACAAGCTTTTCTTCAATTGGTGCTACCCCTAATCTATCATGTATATCATCGTTCCGAACTCGATCCCTTCTTGTATGACCGCAAATCCAACGCAACATACGCATTTCCGCGACACTTAACTGTTGAACATGTCGTCTTTTCGTAGGCCAACATTCTGCACCATACAACATCGCAGGTCTAATCGTCATCCTATAAAACTTGCCTTTTAGCTTCTGTGGTACCCTTTTGTCACATAGGACACCAGATGCTTGCCGCCACTTTATCCACCCTGCTTTGATTCTATGGCTAACATCTTCATCAATATCCCCGTCTCTCTATAGCATTGATCCTAAATATCGAAAAGTATCCTTCCTAGGCACTACTTGACCTTTCAAACTAATATCTTTCTCCTCCCGAGTAGTAGTGCCGAAGTCACATCTCATATACTCAGTTTTAGTTCTACTGAGTCTAAAACCTTTGGACTCCAAAGTCTTCCGCCATAACTCCAGTTTCTGATTCACTCTTATCCGCCTTTCATCAACTAGTACTACATCGTCCACGAAAAGCATACACCAAGGGATGTCCCCTTGTATGTCCCTTGTGACCTCATCCATCATTAAGGCAAACAAATAAGGGCTCAAAGCTGACCTTTGATGTAGTCCTATCCTAATCGGAAAGTCATCCGTGTCTCCATCACTTGTTCGAACTCTAGTCACAACATTGTTGTACATGTTCTTAATGAGCCCGACGTACTTCGTTGGCACTTTATGTTTGTCCAAAGCCCACCACATAATATTCCTTGGTATTTTATCATAAGCCTTCTCCAAGTCAATAAAAACCATGTATAGGTCCTTCTTCTTCTCCCTATACCGCTCCATAACTTGTCTTATTAAGAAAATGGCCTCCATGGTTGACCTTCCGGGCATGAAACCAAATTGGTTCATAGAGACCCGCGTTATTGCTCTCAAGCGATGCTCGATAACTCTCTCCCATAGCTTTATAGTATGGCTCATCAACTTAATTCCTCGGTAATTAGTACAACTTTGAATATCCCCTTTATTCTTGTAGATCGGTACCAATATACTTCTCCTCCACTCGTCAAACATCTTGTTCGATCGAAAAATATGGTTGAACAGCTTGGTTAGCCATACTATAGCTATGTCCCCGAGGCATCTCCACACCTCGATTGGGATACCATCCGGTCCCATCGCCTTACCTCCTTTCATCCTTTTCAACGCCTCTCTGACCTCAGATTCTTGGATTCTCCGCACAAAACTCCTATTGGTGTCATCAAAAGAGTCATCCAACTGAAAGGTTGTGTCCATATTCTCACCATTGAACAATTTGTCAAAATACTCTTGCCATCGATGTCGGATCTCATCCTCCTTCACCAAGAGATGCTCCCTTTCATCCTTAATGCACTTAACTTGGTTGAAGTCCCTTGTTTTTCTCTCATGAACCCTAGCCATCCTATAAATGTCCTTCTCTCCTTTCTTCGTACTCAAATGTTGATAAAGATCCTTGTACGCTCTATCCTTTGCCACACTTACAGCTCACTTTGCAATCTTCTTTGCCACCTTATACTTCTCTATGTTGTCCACACTACTGTCATGGTACAAGCGTCTATAGCATTCTTTCTTCTCCTTAATAGCCCTTTGGACTTTCTCGTTCCACCACCAAGTATCTTTAGCCTCGCCTCCACTTCCTTTGGTTACTCCACACACCTCTGAGGCCACCTTCCAAATGTTGGTTGCTATCTTCTCCCACATGTTGTTAATGCCCTCTTCTTCCTTTCAAGAGCTCTCTTTGATAACCCTTTCCTTGAATAACTCTGACGTCTCCCCTTTTAGTTTCACCATTTTGTTCTTTCGATCTTAGCTTGTTTATCCCTACGGGCACGCACCTGAAAACGAAAGTCTGCCACCAAAAGCTTATGTTGAGAAACAACACACTCCCCTGGTATCACCTTGCAATCCAAGCATGCTCGTTTGTCCTTTCTTCTCGCGAGGACAAAGTCAATCTGGCTAAAGTGTTGTCCGCTACTGAAGGTCACTAGATGATATTCTCTCTTTCTAGAGAAAGTGTTGGCTATCATCAGGTCAAAAGCTACCGCGAAGTCCAGAACTTCCTCCCCCTCCTGATTTCTACTACCATACCCAAAACCTCCATGAACTACCTCGAAACCTGCGCTTGTAGTACCTACATGTCCATTAAAATCTCCTTCTATAAAAAGCTTCTCACTACTAGGTATAGCTCTAACCAAACCATCTAAGTCTTCCCAAAACTGTCTCTTAGCACTCTCGTCGAGGCCTACTTGGGGGGCATACGCACTAATTACGTTCAAGACCATATCACCAACGACAAGCTTGGCTAAGATAATCCTATCTCCTTGCCTTCTCACTCCCACCACACTATTCTTGAGGCTCTTATCAATCAAAACTCCTCCATTTCTATTCGCGACTGTCCCTGTGTACCAAAGCTTGAAACCTGTATTGTCCACCTCCTTCGCTTTCTGACCCTTCCATTTAGTCTCTTGAACGCATAATATATTTACACGCCTCCTACTCGCGGTATCAACTAATTCTCTTAACTTACCTGTAAGTGACCCTATATTCCAACTACCTAAACGGATCCTAGTTGGTTCGACTAGCTTTCTTACCCTTCGCACCCATCGACTCAAATACGAAGACCCTTGCTCATTTTTAACTACACCCGGGCGCCGATGTAGCGCGCCACTAAGGAAGCGACGACCCGATCTTTGATCACTTGACACCATGCCCAGATCACGACACGGCGCGTCACGGGGGTGACGACCCGGCCCTTGCTCATTTAACACCATACCCGGGTTCCGATATGGCGCGTCGCTAAGAGGGTTACGCCCCAACGATTTTCTTTCGGGTTTCATCTCCATTAAAGTGGCTAAATTTTTATATTGGCTCGCCACGCCTAACACAACCCTCCTCCTTTACCGGGCTTGGGACCTGCTATGCTGGGACACCAAAGGCGCCCCACCATAGGCGGTGTTAGTTCAGATCTTTGATCCCATAATTTTTTTTCCGAACAAAAGAGATTTTAAAAATATTCAGCAAAGGATAAAACTACTGCACTCGTAAGACATGCAAACAATTAAATAATTGGATCACGATCAACGAACCAACCTTAGCTATTGGGCTATGCTTTGCTTTCAGATCTGTCCCAGTTAATTGACCTAAACTACTGCACTCGTGAGACATACAAGCAATCAAATAATTGAATCACGATCAACCAACCAACCTTAGCTCTTGGGCTATACTTTGCTTTCAAATCTGTCCCAGTTAGTTGACCTATGATCATTTTTTTGGACCTGTTCATGTTTCCTACCAACTAAATTTTCTTTCAAATAATAATTTCCATTTCAAATTAGTGCATTATGAAGCTTTATATGCACACAAGCTAATATGTCATATGACATACATTACTATTCAATAGTGTAAATGCAGAGCTCTGTGGAAAACTTTTCCTCATAAATTAAAAAGTTCAATTAAAATGTAAAGCAAATGCAAGTTTAATTGCCCAGTCGACCCAAGTAACAAATTAACATATCAGTGAGAGCCGTGATAAGGACCAGAATCTCTAATATAGGTGCCATTCTGATCCCTTGTAAAAGTTGGTTACTAGATGATGTCCTTGAGTTTTATTCATAGTGAAAAGTTAGCTTTCAAACATGTTTGTGCCTATACTATCCTTTTGGGCCCAGAAAAAAAATCACAGTGCAAATCTGGGAGAAGCAAATTTGATTCATAGATAGAGAAACAAAGTCACTCTAGAGATAAGAAGCCAAATGATATTCTTAATTGTCAGAGCACTGCATACTTCACGTTTACTTCCTTTATTCATGTCAATATATATGACAACAAATTCAGGCTGCAGGGCTAGATGGACAACATAAAGTTTTATTCAGACAGTTTACATCTAGTTTGGATTTTGTTGATTTAATGTGGTCTGTATTTCCCCTCTGCTATTCCTAAATCAGTGAATCTGAGTAAATATCATTTTTGTCATTGGATTCACTGGTATCGAGTTCCAAACTGTAGGCTGTAGGCAATGATAGAAATGAGATTGGGCAACAGCTTCGTGCTGAAAAGGAAATGATCCTAAGAAAGTGTTAGTTAGCACTTATACATCAATTCTGAAGTAGTGCACATTTGTATTATCAGATATGCCTCACAAACAAAGAGGCAAATTAAAGGACAAACCTATGTAGAAAAACTTTCGTGGAATGCTGAGGCACTCTAGTGCTAACTTCTTTCAAACTAGAAAAAAACTTAAATCAATATTTCAGGGAGATACCACAAAGTTTATATTGGTAGCTTTTGGTGACATTAGATGGTCATGTTGCAGGACTTCTTAAGAAGTTAAGGATTTGAATATTCGTACTCAAAATACCTTTTTAGTAGCCAGTTATTAGCTGTTCTTATATTTCCTTTTACATGTTCTTTTCACTCTTCTCTTATCTGCTGTGCATAGAAATGACCATCATAGCATGTTCTGAAAGTAGGAAAAGGGGGTCATGCAGACAAAATAATTAAATTCTTTTGATGCTTATTATGGCAGCACTACTGGTGCACTTGAGGCTGCATATACCCAGGCAACTGGCGAGCCCATCTCTCTTTCTGAGCAACAGCTTGTTGACTGCGGCAAGCCATTCAACAATTTCGGATGTAATGGAGGCCTTCCATCCCAGGCCTTTGAATACATCAAATACAATGGTGGCCTTGACACCGAGGAATCTTACCCATACAAAGGTGTCAATGGAATCTGCAACTTCAAGGCTGAGAATGTTGGAGTCAAGGTTTTGGACTCGGTTAACATCACCCTGGTGAGGAGAACCTCATACTAAATTTTGACAGAGTGTTATCTACATTTAACTACTCTGAGTTAATAGTTTATACTATTTCTGTTGTGGTGGTTAGGGTGCTGAGGATGAACTGAAGGATGCTGTTGCTCTGGTTCGCCCAGTTAGTGTTGCCTTTCAGGTGATCAATGGTTTCAGGCAGTACAAGAGCGGAGTTTACACTAGTGACAGCTGTGGAACTACTCCGATGGTCAGTTACAGCAGCCTTGTATCAACCTACGATTTATCTATAGTTTGCTTATGCAGAGTTTATCTATGAATTGTTCCTACCATGTCATGCTCCTGTTGTTATGATCTTAAATTATGAATTCTTTCGCGTTACTAGGATGTGAACCATGCTGTTCTGGCTGTTGGCTATGGTATCGAAAATGGTGTCCCCTACTGGCTCATCAAGAACTCGTGGGGCGCCGACTGGGGTGATGAGGGTCACTTCAAGATGGAAATGGGCAAGAACATGTGCGGTGAGTATTCCATATATTTCATCGCTACAAAAGAACAAGAAGAGATCTTGTGTTTCAGGATATGGTGCACTAGCACTAGTGACACGATACTGACTTGGACTCTCAACGATGCAGGTGTTGCTACGTGTGCATCCTACCCTATTGTCGCATGAGGCCCCTACGAAATGTTACAGTCTGTTTGGCATTAATAATGCATGTTTAACCTGAGCTTGGTGATGGGTTATACAGAACGGAAAACTCTGTTGTGAATAGAAAATCGTGAAGGGAAGGAATTAGCTCCTGCTTGTACGTCTCCCCCGTATATGGCTGTGTAGGTAGATTGTCAGTTGGGGTTCCAAACTACTCATACGTGTGTATGGCATTTTATTTATGAAACAAAATACCCATTAATCATGATGGTGCAGCTTGGGACATTTTATCATAAAATAATGTACCATATGCAGATTATATATTGTCATGTACTGTACTCATGTTCATGTCTCTGAGTTATGTTTAGTTGGCTTGGATGCGAGGCCTCTCTGGAGGAGCCATCGGGGTGTTTGGATATTCGACTCGTTCGTAAGCTAATCCGGATCCCCATTCCCTCAGCAAGACTGCCGTGCACCTAAAATCTGAGTTGGCTCGTGATGCTTGGAGAACTAGTGACGCGATACATTGCTGTGAAACAAATCACAGAACTTTGGTGCTTAGCATTTATAAGTGACCAAATTTTGCAAACCACTGTACTAGACATGCAAGCGGCACGGCTGCGGGTATCCCAATTCCCACCCCGTGGGTTTCTGCGGCGGTCCGTTTTCTGCCGCGTTCCCGTTTACGCGTGGCTGCTGAACTTGCTGCATATTGTTGTCTGATACGCCTGAACTTGCTGCCTGTTGACATATGCGCCTGAACTTGCATGGAAACACAGTGCTTATAAATTATAATTACCACGATTCTTGCAGCTGCAACGGAGAACATGTTATGGCTGCCTCTTGTGATGAGGTCATCAGCAAACATGGAATTCACTGAATTCACTTGTCCAATAAACCAATCTATGAGACTAGATATTTTGTAATATCATGATTCATAATTTATCAAAGTTGCAAAAAATGGTCACACCTTTATACAAGTGCAAGCTAAATTGAAGTCAACATATGCTTTAAGAAGGCCACACGACCTGTTCCTCTAATCATAAGTTCAAAAAAGATTGCAGAAGACTTAGAACGGAGTCCGAAATAAGCTGAGCCGTGGAGATGACACTTGGGCGTTGCTATCCTGACACTAATAATATTATACAAACCAGTGTTGCTAATCTGCTATCCTGACACTAGTAATATTATACAGGTTTGTGCTGACTAGTCTGAGACCGATTGCCTTGAAAAATTAGTGATGGAGATTTTTAAAGCAGCCCTGCACGCCACCACATCACAGCCCTGTTCATAAAAATCATAAAGAATGCAATGCATTTATCAGCATACGATACAGATGAAAAATCGTATAAAGATTCCATTTTCTTCAGTTTCAGATGACAAACCATGAGAGTCATGTCATCAATGGTAATATTTACAAACATTTGTAATCCAACTTGAAAGGAGAAGTGGAGTTCAAGGACTGAAGGTTTCCATTGAGCTGGTCAGATATGTAATATTTGTTCTATTGAAATATGTCTTTAGCAAACTTAAAATATCATTTCAGCCAAGCAAACTAAAAAAATCAAGAACAGAGAAGAAAAGCATAATTGCCAACCTAATTGATAGATATGCATGTTCCAGTAGAAGAGAACTGTGCTCCAGACTGAACTTTCACATATGCAAGAAAAAATCTTTTAACCCTATATGAAGATCCTAATGGCGGGCCAACAAGAACTAAAATATATGCAGCAGCAGTAAAAGCACTAATTCGAAGCATAAATAGCATTAGAACACATAAAAAACAGTAGCAATAGATTACATCATCACTTACCTTGACCATGATTACTCAGGAGATATTGGGGCTTGTGATGGGAAGTTTGCTGGGGACATCATCCTTGGGGATAGCATGATTCTTATCCCTGTTGACATTGCTAGAATTGGTGGCGGCATTGGCAACCGTTTTGCTGATGGATCTTTTAATCTTTTTGCCTCTTCAATCCAGATGCCTTCCTCTTTGCTGCTGATAAGAAAACCTTCTGCATCGCCCATCACACATGAAGCAGCAGCATTAGTTTGCAAGAAAAACTAGAATATATTTATGGCCAATAAGGGAAAGTTTGTGACAAAGGCTAGAATAAAGTTTGTAACAAAAATCCAGCCATATCACAGCGTAATCTGCCCACTAGCAGTAATCGAAAGCATGGTTCATCCAAGTTTTTGATGCAAGTTTACTTTCCAGAACTACACACTAGTAAGAGAAAGCTAGAATTAAGTTTATCTTTGGGCCATGCAGAGAAACAAGGGGCAGCTCTGAACCAGTTTTCTATAGAAGATATATATAAATCATGAACAAAACTGGAGGACCATAAAAACTCCATGGCAAATGTAACTACAGATATAAACAGGCACATATGATCGGCTATCTTGGAAGTATTTTTCCATTTTATGAAGAGATTATATCAAATTAATATGGTTGGTTGTAGAAAAAATACCTTTAGGCTGTGCTTGTGCAACAATTTAGGCCCAATTTAGGCCATGCCTGTTAGTTTGAGCAGATGAAAAACATATATGCTTGTGAATTTTCGTTTGTCAGATAAATTGATTGCCATGGAAGTATAGATAGCATCTTGGTCATGTTTGGCATGTAACTACAGACATAATTAGAGCTAAATTCTGAAAACATAGATGTGGGCCTGTGTCAGGGTACAAAGTATGGAAAATTAGAAAGGGGCGCTTTTTTCAGCGCGGCTTCTGAAAATGCTGTTCAGAAATAGCCTAAGTAACATATCACTGTTTCCCTTGCACTCCAGTGAAGAAATTGGTGGACATGAACAACTAAGCAATCCCAAAATCCAAAAAGTTGCTTCTTAATGCAAAAGCATTAAATATGAAAAAACTAATTGCACAGTTGCGGAAGCTTTAAACAACATTTTTGAACACTCCCAAATAAAACGAAGGTATTCACATATTCAATCAAATTTCAAACAAACTGACTTCTTAAGCAAAATAAAGGCGGGAAGCTTCCAACATTTATACTCCCAAGGGTATTCAATATTGAAACAACAGAACTGACCTGCATATAGAGTTATTTTCAAATAAAACCGTTCGGCTTATCCCATATTCGACTTGTTTTTTTTTTTTGATCGAAAGCAGAATGCAGCGATTTCACAAATCAGAGGAATTGCGGAATCGCCGAGGAATGAACCCAGTCCGCTAGCCGATCCCGGGCTTGCGCTGATCACAAAATTAGCCCTTGTTTAGAAGAATTTGGATTTTGCGGAATCGCGAAGAGGAATTGCGGCAGTTTGGTCCCAGTCCGCTAGGCTGTCGATCCCCGGGGCTTGCGGCGGAAGCCAGCGCCGACTTAACTGCAATTAACCGGTTGCTTAACTGTAGCTTCCTTGCCGGGAACGGCACCTAACTAACAAGACGGCAGGAGATCTACAAAGCCTGATCGGCTTGGCATCCCATATGCCCATATTCCCATTACCTTGCTGCTAATCGCTTCGTTGTTCATTTGTGCGTGTCGTGAGAGGGCCTTGTTTAGAGTGGGTCTTACGAGACGAACGTTTCACCTGCGGCGTCAAATTACAAATAAAAACGAAATTGCTACAGTAGCCAAATTTCGCACTTTTCGCGAACTAAACGCGCGCTGGGTCTCTTTCACCTGCGGCGTCAAATTCAAAAGGTCCAAAATGTTTTCTTGCAAACATTTGATTGGCTCTCCCCCTGGATGTGAACATGCGATGTGACAGCCACCTCTTGAAATCTTGATCTCCCTCTGCCTTGCCGGCGAAGAAACACAGCTGTGACCGCGACTACTTAAGAGGAAGCCATTCACGCCGCAGGCCCTCCAAGTTAGCAACAACTGATTGCTTGCGCCGCAATTACCTTTCGTTCTTGAATCTTGATTGGAGAATTTCGTCTAGTTCTTGTCCATTCTTGTTTGAATTTTGCAGCAACGACTCAGTTTAGGTTGTTACTCGTTTCATCATATTTTTCCCTCTGAAATAACTTGCTTTTTAAGAAACATCAGAAATAACCGATATCAAGAGAAGGTCTTGATGATGCGATTAAGTTGTTTTAATCCAGAGCAATATGAACATAACAATCTGTATGAAATTGACGGTTTTTGATGATGCCCTTCTCTGTTCCTGGCAGGGACTGCTGGCCCCCTGATTTTAAGCGGCCAAGATATAAATATCACTGCTGGCAAGAGGATCATGTCAAGAAACATTTCGCCCGTGCTGCTGATTTTGATCTGCTTCTTGGTTTGTCCTGTGAGGATCCGTGGATTCTCATGGAACATCTTCTCCTCCTCGTCTGTGCCCAAGGGCGGCGAACGCGCTCCGGTGATGGAGCTCGATGGCGCGGTGGCCGACTTCGCCCTGGACGGAACCAATGACCCCAGAGGGCTCAAGCTGCTGGAGAACGCGCGGAACAAGCTCGCCGGGCCGAGGAACTGCTGGCAGGAGGCGTACCGGAAGCTCTTCGCTAGCTGCAGCGAGATCATGGCCGACAAGGAGAGGCAGTCGCGCCTGGCGTGGCACCTCAGCAGCTGCTTCCAGGAGGACTCGGGGCGGCTGCCCTTCCCGTCCTGCGCAGAGGGATCCAAGATGGTGTACTGCCGCAAGCGGCTGAGTGAATCAGAAGGCAAGGTCTTCCTCGAGTTCTTCTTGGAGACCAACACCCTATGCCACCAATTGCAGTAAGTTTGGTTTTCTCTCCTAGCATTGATATGTTTTTTGTACTGAACTTTTTTTAAAGCAATTTTTTATACTGAACTGGACGCTGTCTTTTTTTTGTCTTCATTTGATTTATTCGTCGTTCAGGGCTGAAGCTTTCAAGCACAACACTGAGAGGCTCGTCAATGATCTCACAAGGACATCCAAGTCCGCTGAGGAGAAGCTCGAGGTGATCGAAGAGAGGTCAGATCAGATCATCAAAGAGTCTAGTAAAGTGAAGGACACACTGTCATCGATCGAGACGCAAGCCGACAACCTGACAGAGGTGTCAAAGCACACCGAGGAGCAGATCAACGTTGTGCTGGTTCACTCGAAGTCCATCTTTGAGCAGTCCAAGGAGATCGCTACCACTCAGGCACAACTGAGTAAAGGGCAATCAGAGATGAGGGAGAAGATTGAGGCAGGTAATGCACGCGTTGAGGAATCATATGAAAGACTAGGAAACGGGATGGATAAGATAAAAGAAGAGACTGGATCTATGCAAAGGGAAATTAAAAGTGTTGGTGAGTCAATATCTTCAAAGATGCAGAATTTGCAAAGAACTGCTGATGACATTGGGAGTGTTGCTGGCAAGTCCTTGGAGAACCAAAAGCAGCTACTGAATGGACAGAACCAGGCCATGGATGGACTGAATAAGCTCCACAGCTTTCAAGCAAAATCTCTCGAAGAAAGCAGGTGTTATTATATTCATATGCACTGTTCAGCTTGTATTGTTCTTGAATCTTGACAAATGCTTGCTATACGTCTAGTAGAAAAATAATATTGATTAAGTGAACAATTGCAGGGAAACAATGCAGAAACTTGCACAGTTTGGCCAGCGTCAGCAGGAAGAGCTACTGTCCCGGCAAGAAGAAATCCGGAAAGCTCACGAGCATCTCGTCCAAAATTCTCACTCCATACTGGAAGCCCAGGTTCTTATATCTCATTTTGAAAATATGACCAACTTTACATGTTCGTTTATATTTACTGAACTTTTTCATATACACAGGAAGAGTTCAGAGCAAAGCAGGCTAACATTTTTGCTGCTCTGGACAAGCTGTATATTCTGCACAATGCCATTCTAGCTGAGTCTCGCTTCATCAAGGCCTTCTTCTTCTACTGCTGCATTGTGTTCCTCATCTATATGCTCACCAGTGCAAAGCAAACGTTCAGCATCAGGGGCCAGCTCTACTTTGGTATTATTTCACTATCGAAATTGAAAACTTATAATAAATTAAATTTGAATGCCCATTAGCTAACATTTTGCCCTGGCAGGTCTGTGCATTACGCTTCTATTGGAGATTGGGTTGATCAAAATTGGCGCCGACGACTTCGACAAGCAGTTCTGGGTCATGTCCAAGGTGTTCTTGGTCAGAATGGTGTTCCTCGGCGCTGCCACCGTTCAGATCTTGCACTCCATATTCACCTACAGGTACGTGATAAACGAAGGCCTCTGCTGCACTATCACACAATGCAAATCTACACGCTCGTTTATTGGCCTTCGCTTAATTTTAACCTCTTTTTATCCTTCAGGGACTATGGGGTGCTGAACCACGGGCTGCTCCAGACGCTGGTCGAGAAGGTCCGGGCGCTGGAGGAAAACGCCGGCGGGAGGGCGCTGTCATACGGCTCGGAGTCGGAGGAGGAGAGCCTGAGGGACTACTCGTGGGTCTTCGACGAGGTGGACAGCAAGATGGACCCAACATATGTCCTGCCGCCGGAGCGGTCGCCTCTGATTCGAAGGCGCAACCAAGTTGTCGTGGCGGAGGAGGTCGGCGAGAACTCCCTCACAACGTCGGTCTCCCGGAAGTACAATCTGCGGCCACGGAAATAGGCACAGCGGTCTGGTTTCTTAGTTCGGAAGGAGCTATTTTGAGTGTCGCATCAGATGTTGACGAAAGTTTTATTTACACGATGTTCTAGCACATTTTGATGAAACTACGGTTGTGAAATCAAATTACGCTTCAGAAATCTTGTATGATGTTCAGCATTTTCCTGTTCTATCCAAGGGGTTTCAGTGATTCTCTCTCTCTTTTTTTTTTTGAAACTCGGAAATTCATTACTCACCAGACACAGCAGAATCGCTGGTCATCAAGTCCTCAACAAACTGAGGTACAGACTCCCAAGTGATAGGCATATCACTGGACAACTTACACACAAACGATGCAAAAGCATCCGCAAACTTATTACAGGTTCTAGGACACACACCCACTTTATAGCTTCCAAAATCCGTCATTAGTAGTAACCGAAGTTCAGTTACGATCCCGCTCATAGCTCACAGACGATAAGCATCATCCTCCAAAGCAGTTTTGACCAGAACAGCATCCGTCTCCAGAGCTACCCTCTGTATTCCCAAATTTGCTGC